GTTGTGATCTTTATCAAGGTACCAGTTTTTGGCGGCAATGATAACAAATCTTTTCACAGATTTACACTCGTACTTGAATTTAGAATATGYATCAAAGGAAAACGGCTTAAAACGAAAATCTGGAATGTGGGAGAAGATCCGAAGAAGAATGGCTGTGATTGGTTGATKTTTTAGACTTATTCAGTGTGTTTGAGGGGTTTGAAAGGCGCTTCAATGCTACTGGAAAAGAACTGTTCATGGATAACAAGGACAAGAGGCCGACGGAAAATCATTTGCTACATTYTTATTATTGTATTTACCACTGCCATATTGCGGAAAATTCATAACTACCACTTCTCTGGCCACAATAAATTTCAAGACTTTTTGAGAGACTGGTGCCGAGTCCGAAGATTAAGAGTGGACTGGGAACAAGTTTTAAAACCTTGCCAARATAGATTAAAATGGGGATCAAACACTTGGGAACCAAGCCTTCAAACWGATCCCGAATCAAGTTATATATCATTATGGGATATACGCCCTGCTGGCGAGTTTAGTAAATTTAGCATTCAATCCACATCGGTCAAAGGTGWCAAAAAGACCATAGGTGGGGACTCGTGGAGAGTGAACATTAATGGCCCTAGCTCTGTTGCAGGGACATTATTTGATCATATGAATGGGACCTATGAGGTGYTGTTCTTGGTGACCATCCCTGGGGTGTACAATGTGGAAGTGGTCCTGGAGCATTCATTATGTGATGGGTACAGAGACCCTCCTTCAAACTGGTTTAAAAAAGGTGAAAACATTGAAACAACCCAAAATTTTTCTTCAATGATTTTATAGTAAAGGATTCATAACAGGAGCTCACAAAGCGCTGCCCCCTCCGGGAACATCCCCATAAAAACGAGGCAAAATTCATGAAAACAAATCTCAGCTTTGTGGACGTCAATATAATTCAATTTTAAATAATGAATAATTTGAAACATAATGAGAAAAAATAACGTTTAAAAAAAAAAAGAAAGCGAAAAGATTAATCGAAGAGCAATATATGATATCTTTCSTCTATAGGAAGCGCACAAGGAAAGAACCAGAAAGAAGGGACATTAGGTGACACCAAACGACGTCCTTTTCTTCTTAAAAAGCTTTGGAATGGTAACCCTATTGTTATTACTGTACCTAGCCCAACGCATGGCAAATCAGTATTGTCAGGTAATGATAATAGATTTATACAGTCAATCCCATTAACACTGTTCACTTGTAAAGATGGMAAAGACAACAACAAATTCATTTTTTTTAATTCTCAGAAAGAATTGCAATTCTAAACTTTAGATTTTATTGGCGAATTAAA